AAGGCTGGGGGAAGCCAGCGCATGCGGCGCTTGCTACAGGCCAGGCAGTTCCTTCGGCCTGTTTGTGCGTCCCAGGAATGAGATAAGTGCTCTTCCTGTTCCTTCGCAAACATACACAGGCCCCGTTTCCTTTCCCCGCCACTGCTGAATGCATGGGACCCCGTCCAACTCCTCCTCCTCCTTCTCGCTGAGAGAGAAAAGCCTGCACTGCCCAGATTCCAAAGCTTTCCTCTTGGCAGGGAGCTCTCTGCAGGCTTGGAAATGTTTGGCTTTCAGCTCCGGGGCAGAAATGGAAATGCGGCCTCACACGGGGGTGAGCCAGCAGCTCCTTCCAGGGGCGCACGGCACTGCTGCGGGGGGGTCTCTTTTGCAAAGCTTCCCTTTGTCTGGACTCAGTGTGCACACGTCCCCGGAATAGGAGGTTGTTGGACAATAGGAGACTCAAGCCCTCCCAGCACCCTCCCCTTGCTTCTTCCTAGGGCCACAGTTATTTTTAGTTATTAAATGGGTTTCTCTTCCCTCCAATATAACATGGCTCCTCTTTTAAGGTTGAAAGGACAGGAACGATTGCTTCCTCTCCTCAACAAGCCCTGACCGGGACTCTTCCCCTTCTCCTACTTGAGCCCAGGTGGGAGTGCAGTGTAGACGCGAGTCATTTGGACCCTGGTGGGAGTTCTGCCCTCTGCATCTCAGTCCTGTATCTGGGACGGGAGTCCTAGTACCCAAGTATTCACTTCACAATGTGTAGGTCCATGGGCAAAGTGCGTATTAGGTCCCACTGCCAACCTGTGGCAAGTTTATGTAAGTATAATGAGGAAAGGAAGGATAAAATCAAGTTGAAAATGGAATTTCACAGTCCTGAAATTTCTGAAGGGTTTTTTGAAGGTTTTTTTGTGGCAAATTATCATTCCAATCAATCTTTTTGCTCCTAGAAATTTCATTTCTTTGAAAAACAGCATTTTATTTTGGTCAAAACAAAGTTTCAAGGGAAAATTTCCAGCTAGGCCTTCTCTTGTCCACCCCATCCTCTCAGGGTGATGGAGAATGCAAGATGTCATTGGACTCTTAAACGTTTCCGCAGCAGCCAGCTGGCCAAATTTGCTTCTTGGATGCTACATGAGACCAAAGGCAGAGCCTTGAATAGCTAAAAAGAGCCCAGAGGTCTCAAGATGTGGTATCTTGGACAAGGTTAGGAGCAGCATTAATCCAGTGCCCAGGCATGATACTGCCCATCCAGGGGTGCGGACAGGATCAAGGGCAGAGCTTTATGCTCCTTCTAGGTGAGATGGGACTCTTTAAGGAGATACAGTTGAATTAATGGGCAAAGCTGCTGTTCTTCCTCGTGTGATGGGGTAGCCTGAGACTGTCTTAGCTGTCCTGAGGTGGAATCTGTTGGTGCTGTCTTCCATGCTAGCAGCAATTCTTACCCGGGGAAGAAAGGTACAGAGCACGCGTGCATGTGCACATGCACAGAAATGGTTTCCTGTGCAGGAATTGAACGGTTAATCCGCTTTTTTGCTCCTTGGTTGCCCCGCCTCTGCACAAGGCATGCTGGGATTTCCTCCCAGCTGTTTTGCATCACAGGGAGTTGTGCATTAGGGAAATTCCAGCGCACAGCTGCAGCTCATCCACTCCGCATTCCCAAGCCCTGGCATTTCACGCGCCACGTTCCCTCCCTATGGTCTGGCATTGATGCTGGTTCATCTCTACACAGTGGGAAGTGCAAAGAGCCTTTATTTTGTTAGCCTGTATCCCAATACACAGGGCAGCGAGGCACACATATAGCGCAGAAGACGTGTAAAGCAGTAGTGCCCAAGCCTTGTGGGGCTGGGCAGTGCCACGGGTAGGTGCACAGTGCATGTCAGATCAGGTCTGAAATTTGTCCTGTTCTCCACTTCCGTTATACAACAGCATCTTCAAAAGCAAGGCAGTCCCTCTGCATGGGTGGTCATACCTTCAGACCCCATGTAGAGACTGCCCTTGGGCACATCAAGTTCTCTGTCATCTGTGCTATGATTCTACCCAAGATCCAGGACAGCCCGACAGAGACCCACAATTACCCAGACCCTCCCATGGACCTGGGGTACAACACAAGCTTTCTTCTACTCCTCTGGAGCTTGTCCAGTCTTCCAAGACTTGCTGAGCATCAGCATTTGTGGCCTGGAGAGCACTTCCCTGATGGAAAGCACTTGGGTCTGATTTATAAATGTCTAACTTCTGTAGCTGTTTGATGTTCCTCCCTCCCTTGCCCCATACTAGCACAGTTGGTTTCACCATTGCCGTGTGACAGGGACCTGTTCTCTGACTTTCTTCTGAGCATGGAACATAAATATTGAGTGGATGCTTCTGTCTTCTCTGCCTTGTGGACAGTTCTCCCATTCCAGCTAGCAAAACGTTATTTGAGTTCCTTTTGTCCCGATACACTCTCATTCCTAGCCTACTCCTCTCTGTGTCTGTTGAGTTTCATTGGCTAATTTTCTATGATAGCTAGTGATTTATACCCTTTGCTATCCATTTCCTTCTTGGTGTAATGCAATCTATTTCAGGTCCCTCTGACCTGCGTGTCACGGCTTTTGGGGCATCTAAGGAAATGTTCTCAAACCATTCTTGATTATCCTTCATGTTTTCTTCTTCCGGCTGAATGGTGTTCCCATCTGGAAGGGTGGAAGAAGTGATTGAAGGAAAGGAAAAGCTGAGGTTTGTCAGGTCCAGCCTGAGAGGAGGAGTGCCCCTCTGGCTGGGGTGGAGCATGAGCACAGACAACCGCTGCTAGGCACCAGCGTTCAGCTCCTCTCTTGTGTTGTCCTCCCACCCCAGAGCCCCACTTGTTCCATGTTACAGCTCAGATAGGTGAGACCAGCCCCCTGTGTCCCCTTGCTTTGTTTCACAGCGACCCTAGAGCAATGCTCACCATATGGCTCTGGCAGGTTAGCCCTGGTCTTACCATGTTCCCACACACAGCACTGCCACCAGCTTTGACATTGCAAGACACTGATGAGTGCTGGCAAGCTGAGTGGATGGCGGAGGTTGGCCATGTTATGGGGGCAAACTCTGGGAGGGTAGTAGGGCTTCTTGGACAGGCATTAGGAAATGGCAGAGAGGATGGACTTCCACTCCCATTTGGGTCTGGCTGGCCTAACCCTGTCTACACACACGTCTGTGCTATCCACCGATTCCCAACAGGCTCCCAGCTCCTGCAGCCCGTTCACATGCTCCATCCCAGCACCCACACTGTCCACCTCCCAGTGCTGGCTGCCACAGACAGACTAGACCCAGGGTGGGGGCCATGGGCCCAGGTCTCTCTGGGCATCACATGGCTGGAATTAAGGGTGTGAGCTTGCAGAAAGAGGGAAACGTATTGCTGTGAGGTTGGAGGCCACCAGAAGAAAAGAGTGGGAGGGGGAGGAAGAGAGGTTTCTGTACAGAGAGCAGGTGGCATCTTTGGCAGAGGAGGGCAAGGCCATGGCCCCAGTGCCATACTGAGGTATGAACTGTTCTGCAAGAGGTATATGGATCCTGGCTCACCCCGGCCCCCTTGCCCTTTGAGTGCTTGCCGCATGGCAGTCAGTGCCTCCTGGCAGGGCTGGCCCTGAACAGCTGGATACCCGCCACCTTGGAGTGTCAGCAGCTGTCAGCCCTTGGGAGCCACTCAGCAGGCAGCGCTCAGTGCCGGGGCTTGGAAGGGATCCCGGAAAGGGCTTTGGTTCATTGCTGTGCTCTTGCCAAGGGAACTGGGTGACTTTGCAGCTGGAGGAGTAACACCCTGCTGGGACAATTCTGGGACTCCACTACAAGCCCTGGGCCTTCAGAGACTCAGTGCCACTCTCCTCCTTTTAGTGCATGTCTCGGTATTTGCTTCCTTTTAAAACCCCTGGTGCGGGAATCACATGAATGCATCAGGATTTTTGCCCTTCCTTCCCCCGCAGTGCTCTGTGTACAAGTTTGTAGCCCTTCTGCCTGGGAAGAAAAGAGGGCCTTAGTCCAGCCTTAAACCTAGAATGCACGGAGCAGAGAACAGGCTGCAGAAGTGTATCTAAAAAGATCATCGCTGTGTTGAAGCCAAATTCGTGATGCTGGTGGGATGGGGGCAGATTGGAGCTGGGAGTTTGGGGCTGGCAAAGCTAGAAATTGTCCCTTGAAGGACACAGAGAACCAGAGTGTCATCGTCATCACCCTCTGAGGACCCTGCAAATGGAGAGGAGGGTTGGGAGGTGGGTGAGGGAGCCAGAGGCCTTGGTGCTGTTCTCTTCAAGCTTAGAGAAGGTTCCCTTGGAACAGGTCAGGGCATTAGAGCCCTGTGCCAGAGAAGGAAGGGGAGGGCTGGTCAGGATCAAAGCTGCACAAAGTGACCTTAGGATGTAAAAAGCAACAAAACAGGAGAACCCAGGTGTCTGTGCCAGACCCTTTCTGTACAATGCAGTGGCTGTGGAAAGGTTCTGCCATGCTGGTGACAAGGTGGGGGTGAATTTGCAGGCTGACTTCCAGCTGTGGGGGTGGCTGGCTCTTGGGACAGCAGCAGCATGGCTGTGGTTTGCTGTCTCTGCCATGATCTGCCAGGGGGTGCTGGACAACAGCTTCTGGCAGGCACAAGGTTGCGGTGAGTGGGTGATGGTCAGTTAAGGAAGAGGGGCATGCAGCTAAGAGCCTCTCCGTGTCCAAATTCATATGTCCCAGGAGGGGATGGTCTTGCTGAGGCCACTGCCCATTTGTGGAGGGTAGCCTCTGGGTGGAGATGCATGTATTCTCCCTCCCACTTCCCTCAATGCCTGCTCCTCAAGTGTGAGACCCTGCAACACCTCCCCAGCAGCCTGGGGGTCCCTAGCCAACTGCTGATGCTTGCATTCTGGACACTAGTGACCTGAGCTGGGGGCACGCACCTTGCCATATGAGCCTGGTAACAAGAGCTAACAAGCTCTGGGGGAGAGCAGTGGGGCTGAGGGGTGCCCCCTTCCCCTCCCTGAATAGTGGTGCCACGCTGCTAGTGTCTGGGTCTCTTGCAGTACCTGCAGATGAAGTGGCCGCTGCTCGATGTCCCGGCTGGCGCGACGCTGAAGGATAGCCGGTCACCATCTCCTGCACACTTGGTGAGTACTTGATTGCTTGGTCCTGCTCCAGCCTGTCCTGCTTAGTGTGGGTGGGGGACTGTTTGCATGTGGCTACCTCTTACAGGTACCCCTGGCTGTCCAACCAGTCACTGACCCCTCGGGCCTCTATGCTAAGGCAAGAAAGTGGCTTCTGAGCATGGGACATGGGTGCATTTGAATACCCCCATCCTAATGCTTCAGGTGCCTGTGAGTTTTCCCTGGCCCTGGTGCCCTCAGATCCCTCCTCTGGGGGCTTTGGTTCCTTCAAGCACCAAATGACTCCCCCTCCTGTCTCTCCTACAGTCGAACAAGGTGCCCGTTGTCCAGCACCCACACCACGTCCACCCACTGACGCCGCTCCTCACTTACAGCAATGACCGCTTCTCCCCAGGCTCGCCACCTGCCCACCTCTCACCAGAGATTGATCCAAAGACAGGTGAGCCCAGGTTGGCACAGCTGCATATGGCAGGTGGGGGAGAAGAGTCTCTGACCAGACCCCAGGCCCAGGGTGTGAGAGAAAGGGGAGCTAACTAAAGTGCCACCAGCAGGGATAGGAGAAGCCCTTCAAGGATGGTTGCTCATTACTTTCGTGCTGCTCCAGCCTCAGATTTTGAATCCAGACCTCCTCACAGTCCCCTGAACCTCAGGACTGGGAGGGACAGTTCTGCCTGTGGTGACGGGGAAGGGAGCATTGGGCTGGATATACCAGCCCAGACTTTGGGAGAAGGTCTTTTGGTGCCGAGTAGGGAGACAGCCCTGTCAGCTGAGCTGGGCTCGAAGACAGTAGGATCCCCAGTTATGCAGAGGCTCTCGTCTTCCTGGCGTGCTCCGGGCTTGGGTGGTCCCTGGGGTGGGAATGCCTTCAGCATTGTCCCGGGGGTCTCTGCAAAGTTGAAATCCTCAGAGCGCCAAAAAGAAATCTTGCACTCTCTGCAAAGGCTTCGCACACTCCCGATAAAGCACAGATACAGAGGCCATGTCTCGGGGAAGGCTGTGAGCCTTCTCAAAGGGGCACTGAAGATTGCTGGGTCTGTGATTAATGCCTGCTTCTTTTTTTCACCCCCATTCTGGCACAGGAATCCCACGCCCACCTCACCCTTCAGAGCTGTCTCCTTACTACCCGCTGTCACCAGGGGCCGTGGGACAGATCCCTCACCCGTTGGGCTGGCTTGTGCCGCAGTAAGTACCCAGAGGAGGCCACACCACTAGTTTCTCTGAGGCTAGCATAGCTCATCCTGTTCCAGACCCATCCAGCACCCAGTGGCGTTTCAGACTATGGCTGCACAAGGAGCAAAGCTCCTTGTTGTTGCTCACAGTGAAGCCAAGGCCCCAGTTGAGTCAGTTCCAACCCCCAGAACTTGCATTCCATTTTCCTTGTAAAGCACATCACTTTGCCTTGCTCCACGTGGAACAGCATCTGCACCCTCCTGCCCAGACCTCTCGGATGGGGGCATCCGCTGTGAGCTTCCCCACAGCCCTCTCCAGAATCCATCATCTAAAAGAACCACATCCTTGGTAGATTTTGCCATCTCAGTCTGTGCACTTCTGTTTCTGGGCCATAATACACTGATACTTAAAGGCACCCTAGGATTTTGTAATATTGCTCTTTATTGTGTGGCTGCCGGACAGAAGAGGGTCATGTGAGGCACCTGGCTGCATTGCCATGCCTTACCACATTTTGTTCCCTGAGCCTTAGCTCTGTAGGTTATCTGGGAAGTGTCCTGGGTTCAGACCATGAAGTCAAAAAAGGACCAAGTTTCTTGATAAGCCCACTTCTTTAGTTATTTTTCATTCCAAATACCCAATGGATATACTAGAAAGATTTGTGCCTTTCCCACGGAGTGACTCATGAGGTGGAAGACCGGTATTCCTCAGACATACCAATGAGTCTGAATTTCTGTTTGAATTGTCACCGCTAATTATAATAGTAGCTTATTTATGTGTGATTGAGCACATAGGAGCCTCAGTCCTGGACCAGGATGGTGTCATGCTAGGCACTGTATAAACCCACAACGTAAAGGCAGCCTTTGCCCCAAAGTGCTCACAGTCCAAGCATGATAGGCACGTAGCTCTGGCTTAGTTGAGATGCTGTGAAATACACCTTTGTGATGGAAGCAGAGGGGAACTTGTCCTCTTTATGTCATGGGACCTTCTGTTTGTTTGTAGGCAAGGACAGCCGGTGTACTCCATCCCTGCTGGGGGGTTCCGGCATCCCTACCCTGCCCTGGCAATGAATGCCTCCATGTCCAGGTGGGTATTGGGGTAGGAAGAAGGGCTGTTGACAAGGGAAGGACTCATCTGGGATTAGGATTAGAGATAGGAGGAGACAAAACCTAATTCTGGTGCTACACTTACAGGCTCTGCTGGGCAGTACATTTGTGCTGAGAATAGGGACCAGGGCAGAGGGCTCTGTCCATGGGTGTGGACACACATACTGTGGATTAATTTATCATGGATTTGACCTGCAAGATTTACTCTGCAGTCAGTTCTTCCTCCTTTCTCCTTCCCCTTTCCTTCCCTACCCTTTGAATTCTGCTCACTGCTTTCTCTTCAGAAGTTCTGCTTCCTGTGGTCCTGTCACAGCATCTGATGAAATCAGCCCCAGCTTATGAAAACTTGTGGATCTCTATGTAGACATTTGCACACTCAGGAGACATTCTCCCGAGAGTGGTTTAACTCTGGTTGCTACCCAGGTTATTTTTCTCCTGGAATGGCCATTTTTACTCTGGGAGAAAAAGCTTGAACAACTGTACACTCATGGTTTCTCCTGGGAGAGCAGCAACTCTCCCAGGAGAAACCACATGTCTATATGATACCTTAGTTACCTAAGTAACTAAATATCTTAGTTAGTCGTTAGGATGAAAATCTTCCTTGCCTTTAGTTCCCCCAAACTGGCTGCCCAAAGCAGGTGCTGTTACAGTGCCAGGCCACTTGGGGGCAGAGCCAGCTTGCACTGAGCAAATTGCTCCTGGGAACAAAATGAAGCGGTAGTGGAAGCACGACACCTACACCAGGGTTATTTGACTTCTGGCTTCCTCAGAAGCAAGTAGACACAGAAGTAGGAGTGCATTGATAGAGATTTTTTGGGGCTGATACCGATGGTCGATATTTAAGGAGGCATATCGGCCCATACTGATCCGATTTTTCCAATACAGCTGCCTCTAGTGTGGTGGAAGGGGTGTGAAGGGCGCAGATGCAAGCAGGGGGCAGGGGCAGGCACTGCCCAGGCGGGGCGGCTGGGCGTGTGGAGCCGCAGCTCATGGAAGGGGTGGCTCCCACTGCTGCTTGCACCCTGGGAGGGTATGATTGGGGGGGGGTGTGCCCCCGGATCTGCGCTTGGGGCTCCTCTTGGCAGGGGTGGGGCTTGGAGTGGGTGCTGGTGGCACTGGGAGGATGCTGCATTCACTCCAGATTTCACCACTGCACCGCTCTCAGTGCAGCCGCCATCGCCAGCTGTCCAGCACAGCCCCGACTTCCCGGTGCGCAGGTGGAGGTGGGGCATTGAGCCCAGGCTGCTCTGGGCTGCTGGTGACGGTGGTGCTGGGTGTGGAACAGCGGCAAAATTTGGAGTGGATACGGCATCCTCCCAGTGCTGCCGGCGCCCGCTCTGAGCCCAGCCCCTGCCGAGAAGAGCTCTGCACAGCCCGGGCTGCAGCCTGCCCCGTCCTGCACAGATCCGGGGGGCACGTGCCTTCCCGGGTTACAAGCAGCAGCGCCCCCTCCCCCCCACCCTGCCTGGGCAGCCCCTGCCCTCTCCCTCACCGCAGGGGGCATTGATCTGCCCTGCCCCCTACCCCTTCCCTCCCCCTACATCTCCCCTTCCACCACACTGGACTTACCAGCTGGAGGCAGCTCTCCATGCTGCCGGCTGTGCTCCTTGCTGCCTGAGTGCTGTGCTGCGGCTGTGCGCAGCACAGGCATTTATCGGCCAAATTATTGGCCCCGTTGGGCCGATATCCAATACAACCAGTTTTCTTTATATTGGTACGGATCTGATATCAGACCGATGTATTGGTGCACCTCTACACAGAAGAGCAGCATTTCAATTAGAAAACACTGTGTATCGTGCATTTTTCCCCTTTTACCTCAGAGTAAATTCCCCTGGTGTAAACGTATCGTGTCTGCATCCCAAAACCTTGTTTAGGACCTTCTGGACACAATCAGGTTCTCTCCAAGCTGGTGGTAGGTGGTCTGAGCCTGGCTGGGTTTGCTGCCTATACACAAGGTCCTGCAGCGGTCTTAGCTTAGTAGGTAGTAAGTTTAAAACTAACAAAAGAAAGTTCTTTTTCACCCAGCAGGGAATTCAAGTGTGTAACTCATTGCCACCAAATGTTGAGAGAGCTGAGGGTTCAGCCAGATTCAAAAAAAGGATTGGATGTGTTCTTGGAGGAGATGGGCATGGGTAGCTATTGAGCACGGGAGTGAGGGGCACAGCCTCTGAGTCAGAATTTCCTAGACCTTAAATGCTAGAGGCTGTAAGAGGGGGTGCAAACCCTGGTCACACCCTTTCAGCATCCACCCTCTGCTGAAGTGTGGCACAGGAGACTGGGCAAGACGGACCTGCCGTCTGACACAGCACATGGCAGTTCTTACATATCTGGCCGGTCCTAGAGCAGGGGATGCATTTCCCTTGTCAGAGAGGCTGGACTGTGGATGCACAGACCTGGCATGACTCAAGGGATGATCATCATGTTGCTTCATGCACAGCTAGGGCATGCTCAGAGGCAATGCTGATAGAGGCAGGGTAGGTTGGAATCAAGGGGAAGGACTAACCGGGTGGGAGGAGTGTGTGCATGGCCTAGGGAGAGTAGCTGGGATCTGCACTGAGGCTGATGCTGTGTTTCCTTCTGACCCCTGTGTCCTTCTCTCTCCCTCCTCACTCGCAGCCTGATGTCCAGCAGGTTTTCCCCACACATGGTGCCACCTCCCGCACATGGGCTTCACCCTTCGGGAATCCCGCACCCCACCATTGTCTCACCCATCGTGAAGCAGGAACCTGCACAGCCCAGCGTGAGCCCAGGGGGGAATGCGTAAGTTAAGGATGGAGGAGAGGGGGGCATGAGGGGTGCAGCTCAGGTTGGCTGTCTTGTGGTACACTGCGGAGTTTCAGGGTTGGGCTTCTACAGTGCCTCACGCACACAGGCCTGTACTGGTGAACATGAGCCCTGTTTTCCATTAAAAAGTGGTTTTTCATAGAATCAGAAAGAGGTAGGGCTGAAAGGGACCCCAGAGGTCATCTAGTCTAACCTCCCTGCCTGAGGCAGGATCAGCCCTATCCAACCCATCCTATAGAAATCTATCATCTAAACTCTTCATAAAATCACCATCAACCCTGACACAACACGAGACATAACACTGAACCTGCCACAAGGAAAGCAGGAGGACCACAGCAGCCAGTGTCCCATTTCTATAGAAGGTTGTTAATATATACTCAAAAGAGATCTCAGGCAGAGGCTGTGCCCCTTGCTACAGAGGAAAGCAAACCCTGCCTACCAGTCTGACCGTGGGGGCAAAATTCCTTCCTGACCCCAAATCTGGCAGTCAGCCTGACCCTGAGTAGAGGGGCAAGACCCTCTAGCCAGAAATCTCTGGCTTTAAGTCCCAGCAGGAGCATCACAATCCCCAGCCATATGGAAAAAAAGAAAGAAAAGGCAGGGTAAAAGCAGCCACTTTAAGCGACTGTTCCCGCTTCATGCAATGATTGTAGTGTTTTCCCTGTAAAAGCATCTGATTTTCTGGAAAATGTGTAAGCACATGAGTTTGGAATGGTTGTGTCAGCTGCCAGAAGATCCAAATCCTAGTATCTGCAGCTGCCAGGTGGTGTGTAGGACTGGGGCAGGATTTTGTTACCAGGCCATTCTCAGGGGCTCCCCCAAATGGCAGAGAGGTGACATTGGCCTCAAAACTGCTTTGCAAGCTCTGTGCAAAGGATGCAGTTAATCCAGCAGAGGCTTTTCCATATACCTTTCCCTCCAGGCACGCTCCAGTGCCCAGACGAGAGCCTGATGTACACAAGCTCACTCGTACCTGCTTACCTGTAGGAATACATGTGTACATGTGGCCTTGCATATGTACCTGCCTGCTTTCACCAGCATGCACACATACTCCCATCCCTACCACACAGACATTTCCCATGCATGTTTACACAGACACATACCCAGCTAGCCTTTCACCTCCGGGCACATCTGTCACATAGATACACTAACACCTTTGCCCAACAGCATGCACTGTCACATGAACATAGGGGTGCGGATGGCTCAGTGCATCAGCACATATAGCCCAATGCATATTTTTTCTCCAGTTAAAAGAGAAACTAGAAGCTTTGCTTATGGGCCAGGCCCCAGTGCTATATTATTCAGTTAAAGATCAAAGCAAAAAAACCAAATCTTAATTTAATGGACTGTATACTGATTTGCCAACTTAGACATTAAGTTTAAAAAACACAACAAATCAGGCGAAAACAGTCCAAAGACGTTGTTTCATTGGTTCTGTCGTTGTTACAGGTAAATGCACGTCTCTTATTCAGATTTGTAAAACAGAATCTAGTTTTCTTGAGCATCTTGACAGAGCATCCAACATTTCCCTGTCAGCCATTTCCACACCTGACTTCATGTGTACCTGAGTTAATATAACCACACTTGAGTTGAGATTTTTAGTTGGAGCTAAAAACAGGCTGCAGGACTATGAAACAGAAGAGAGATTACTAGGAGCAATTTTGCTGTTAACAGACAGCAGAATTGCAGAAGAAAGGATGACTTGATTAACGAAACATCAAGACCATTAAAAAGGAGAGAGTTGTTGCCACCTGTGGAGTAAAGATTAGCAGGAATGAGGGAGGTGATAATGAACCACTTGACTCTTTCAGTGCTGCCTGAATAGAAATGCTGCAGTTGATTTAAAGTTTGGGTGAAGCAGGGATTAAAGCAGCGTGTAGCTGTACCACGGCACCATGCCCTGGATGTGTGCGCGTGTGCACATGCATGCATACACACACACACACACACACATGTGAAAAATCAGCCTCCTCGCACCAACCTGATCTCATCCTGTGCTGAGGCAGCATGGTTGGGTGCCAAAGGGGACATGTCCTGGAATCTCTGTGGGGCAGGGGGAGTTATCCTGTAAGAGATGCTGACAGAGTTGGGGCCACACAGCAATGAATCTTGCTGTGGGGAGGGAGGGGTGCATTTGGGTCCTACAGAGTAGTGAGATTTACTGGTTTCCTTGGGAAGGAAAGAGCAAATCCCACTGTTCAGGTCTGCAGAAGACCCAGGGCTGGGGAGGGGGAGCGGGTGCTGGACTATGCACCCAGGGGCCTGAGCAATGGCTGAGAGCTGCCTCTGGGACATGATGGCCATTGGGATTACCACCTGCTCTGGTTACCACAGGAAATCCCCAGTCACTGTGAAGAAGGAAGAGGAGAAGAAGCCCCACATCAAGAAACCGCTCAACGCATTCATGCTGTACATGAAGGAGATGCGGGCCAAGGTGGTGGCCGAGTGCACGCTGAAGGAGAGCGCAGCCATCAACCAGATCCTGGGCAGACGGGTACCGGTGTCTTTCTCCTCTTGTCTCCTCGGTCCCTCTTTCCTCCGTGCCTCCTAGATCCCCCCCTGCATCCAACTCTCCTTCTCTTCCTGGGCTTTTGGTGTCCTCAGAGCTGCCCTGGAGCTTGCCCCCCCAGCTTCTCCATCATCCATGGGGGACCTTGCCTGGCTGGCATCTGCAGAGGATATGCAAGTTCTTTGGATACCAGAGCTGGCATTATCTCATTTACATTATCCTCCCTTTACAAGGCTGTAGTGCGGGAGGAACTTGAGGATCCCAGGAACCACCATGCCCCAGGGGGCCCCCAGCTGAATGCTCAGCCCTGGCATCCCCAGGCTACTTGCTGTGTGACTAGATAGTGACCCCCAGTCACAGCCCCTGCTCCTGTGGGTACGCTGGGGGTCTGTCCTGTAGCACACTAGGTAGAACTAGAAAGGGACGTAGCACCGGCTCCACACTTACAGAAAGCATCCTCGAGGACTCTGGTAATAACCTGCCTGGAGTGATCCAAGCCAGAGGGGCAGAGTGCAGAGGGTCTCCCCAGCTGTGGCTGGGGGCTTCATTGAGAGCAGGAGCCCCCATTTGCTGCCTGTCCCCAGGCCCTGGGAATTTTCCAGGCTCTGCGTCAGGGTGGTGGTGTGGGCCTGGAGGCCTGGCCCTTGTGCCTTGCACTCCGTCTCATTAGGGCTGTGGGCAGCTGCCAACGCTGCTCCAAGTTGCACCTAGCCCAGCCCTGGGCCTTCTGAGAGCTGCCTGCTGCAGCTGCTGCCTGCCCCAGGCTCACAACTCAGGGGGCGCCTCTCAGAAAGGGGGAGGGTGGGTTTTGTCCCCCCACCCCCCAGGTTTCACAGTCAGTTGACTTCCTTTCTCCCCCTAGTGGCACTCGTTGTCCCGGGAAGAACAAGCCAAGTACTACGAGCTGGCGCGGAAGGAGCGACAGCTGCATTCTCAGCTCTACCCAACCTGGTCTGCGCGGGATAACTACGTGAGTTGGAGCTGCCAGGGGTGGGGGGGAAGCATGGTCTCTGCAGGGGCAGCCCCTCCCTGGCACGTGCCCTGGGGAGTATTCTCAGGAGTTACACAGCAGCCAGCCTCAGGGATCACAGCAACACTTGACCCTCCTCCCCCGGTTGCCAGTTGCTGCTGCCCTGGCACTGTTCTGAACCTTGTGCGATTGCCTTTTCCAGGGGAAAAAGAAGAAGAGGAAGCGAGAGAAACTTGCTCAGCAGCAGACCCAGGACACAGAGAGTGAGTACCAGCCCTGGCATGTCGTGACCTGACAGGGCGTCTGCTTTACGCAGCTCCATCAGATGGGGACAGGACCCTGTCTTCTCCCCCTGTCTGACAGGGCTCTGACCCAGATCCGGTCTGAGCAATGTGGCTGCTTAAAAAAACCCCAAGAACCCTGCCTTGAAAATACCACTGAGGTGTGACAAAGCAGGGCGCAGGGGCTGTCCCCTGAGGCCAAGATGCTCTGCTCTGTCCTTGGATGTCTTTGTAGATGATTTGACTTGTATCCCATCCCACCCCGTGATATTGAGATGTTGGGAGCAGCTGCACGCATGTGCCAAGAAGCTGTGCCCTTCCCAGCCCCTTTCCTTCCAGTGAGACTGGTTTCCTTGACAGAGTGAAGTCAGGCCTTTGCCTTAGTCCATGCCCCCTGCTCCCCCCACGCCCAGGATCCCTCATGCCAGGTTTGCTTGTGCAACTGGCCATAGTTCAGGCTGTTTGTCTGCCTAATTCGGTAGTGAGGATAGAGCTGAATTACTCAGGTGCAGACAGTCCTCCAATGCCTTCCCACAATGCTCTCCGCATGCCCGGCATGATGAGTGGTGGATGGGGCAGGGCAGCTCAGTTGACCACAGAGTTGAGTGATCACAGGGCAGAGCTAGGCTCCCCCGGCCCATTCAGTCCAGGCCGCTCTTTGTGGGAGATGCAAGCGTAGCACTGTGCAGCTCATGCCTACCTCAATATGACATGCCAGGAGGTTGGCCGTGCTCTGGGGCAGCAGCAACGTGTGGACAGCCCCATTCCCAGGCGTGGATACTGGGCTTTGCACCTGCTGTTCTTGCCACCCAGGACTGGACCGCACGGGGGTGCTGATGGGTTCCTTTGCTGCCCCTTCCAGGCTCCCTGGTCTCCAAGAGCAAGAAGCCCTGCGTGCAGTACCTGCCTGTGGAGAAGCCCTGCGACAGCCCTGCCTCCTCCCACGGCAGCATGCTGGATTCGCCCGCCACGCCCTCGGCAGCCCTGGCCTCTCCCGCCGCCCCAGCAGCCACCCACTCTGAGCAGGCCCAGCCCCTCTCGCTCACCACCAAGCCGGAAGCCCGAGCCCAGCTTGCCCTGCACTCGGCTGCTTTCCTGTCCAGCAAGGCCTCCTCTTCCTCCTCCTCCTCTGGCCTCAGCAGCCCCTCACCTCTCCTCTCCAGACCCATCCCCTTTCCCTCGGTGCCCCCCACAGCCCTTCTCACCTCCCCTCCCTCCTTCCCCACTGCCCTCCCCTCCCCACAGGCCGCCTTAGCAGTGCTGCAAGCCCA